GGCCAACAACCGCTCACGCTGCACACCTTGGGTACAAGTTATAAGGGGAACAGTCCCGCGGCCTTCAAAGTTGCTAAGTCATGGCATGAGCAAGCCGACATCACACGAGCATACCTTGACAAAGCAACCAAGAAAATGAAGAAGTGGGCAGATAAGAAGCGGAGGCATGTGGAGTACAATGTGGGAGATCTAGTACTTGTCAAAATCCTCCCATCACAACACAAGTCCACCCGGCCACTACACAAAGCCCTTGTCTGAAGATATGAAGGGACATTTCCCATAATCAAGAGGGTTGGTAATGTATCCTACAAGCTTGAGTTACCCTCTTGGTCGAGACTTCATCCGATCTTCCATGTGAGTTGTTTGAAGCCATACCATGAAGATGCGGAAGATCCGGAAAGGGGAGAATCAAAACGAGCACTATTTGGCAACACCAAGTTCTATGACAAGGAGGTGGAGTGTGTGTTAGCCGATCGGGTCATTCGACAAAAGGGCCACTCTCCAAGTCGAGAATACTTTGTCAAATGGAAGGGGCTACCAAAGAGTGAAGCTAGTTGGGAACTCGAAGATGCATTGTGGCAATTCAAAGATAAGGTCCAAGAATTCCACGAAGAGTCGACAAGGACGTCTCTGGATTAGGTGGGGGAGAATGTGACGCCTCTCAAGCATTTCATCAAACACTTGGTGTGCGTCACCCAGACATTCTAGAAGCTTCCAGATTACTCTTGTATATGCTAGGATATTGTAATTAATATGGTAGTTGGTAGATAGTAGTTGGTAAGTGGTAGTTTGGAGTTAGCTAATCTCCACTGTTGATTTTGGGAGATCTAGACCGTCCATTGTAAACTCCAACTACTATAAAATGGGGAGGCCTTCATTTGGCCAAACCATCCAAGAATTGTAAAGTTCTCTCAATTAGTAAAGAGTTCTCTTCTAGCATCTCTTGTGAGTTTGTGTGAGTGTTTTCTTACTTACAGGGCTAAGAGCGTGAGCAAGCAAGGCTGACTTAGGGCAATCGTCGAGAGATTAGCACCTAAGGCCGAACGAGTCCGAAGGGAAGCAATCGGGTCGTTACACTAGGTCAGGTGGCTGCGCACGCAACTTCAATAGAAGCCTACGCGTGACCACACGCAACCTTGGGACAATGGCTACGCATGGTGATGCACAACCTAGATCAGAGGGCTCCACATGATAACGCGCAACTATGGACAGTGGCTGCACACAGCAACACACAGCCCCAACAATTTCCACCAGTTTTAGGGTTTCTTCAAAACTCAATATATTTATTCATATAATCTAAAAATGTAATCTAAATAAATATAAATATATTTATTCATATATTTAATTTATGGGATTTAAAATACATTTAAATAAATTAAATATATTCCATATTAATATTAATGTTTTATATTAATATTAATATAATTACAATTTATCTAAATTAACTTCAATATAAATATTGAATGTTGGCAACGACCTCAATGAACTTAATTACATAGAAAAATTACCAAAATGCCCTTTTCGTTAAAAAGACGAAAAAACCCTTCATTTCATTTTTCTTCTTAAACTGCTTTTAACGTGTTTGACTCCTAGGCTCTTTATTTTGTTGGCAGTGATTGGATCCATAATCAAGCATCAACTAATTAGTGTTCTGTATACCAATCAAGATTGGCCTTTAGCAAGACATCATAATTATCCAACAAATAAAGATTCAGAGGAGTTGCTACCTTTCAATAGTATGATTATTGCGCAATTCAAATCATTGCATCATCATTTATCTCATCAAGGTTTAGGGTACAGAAGTAGTGTCAACTTTAATCAATTTGCCTTGATATGTTTATATTCGATTATCGAATCAACGACCATGTAAAATTGGATTCGAGCACAGACTCGATTCCATTATGGCCATAGATTTTGCAATCGTAATTACTAACAGAATATCTCAACGATATAATTTCTCCTGTAACCAGGAGTGATGAATCCTTTGTTGATCTATCATAGCCATAGTGTACTTCTCAATGCAACTAACGACTACCGTACTGATAACCCTGAATAGTACTACGATAGACTCGTGTCAAATTACATCAATAATTACACACAGCGCTCTGGTGGTCTCAAGTCCAAGGGTCACATGCACCACCATCTGTTAAAGAATATATTCTAGAAACATTGGGTTTACCATCTTGTATGGAATCCTTTAATGGGTCAGTCAAATGAACTTGTCATAAACAAGTAGCCATGCACTGCACCAGGTTGTCACCTAACAACCTTGACATGTAAGAATTGTCACTACCTTTTGGTAGGGTCGTTCGACGCTATGATGACTTTACCGTATAATCTGTGCCAATACTGGGGCTACAGACAGTTTTAGAATGACCACCATTTGCAATCATAGGGTTCTCACAATTAAGATTTAAAACACTTAATTCTCTTGTCACAGTTCAACCTTTCTAAGGACATATATCAATTTATGCACGAATATATAAATGAATGCTATGATATAGAATTTATGTCTTATATTGATATTCAATATAATATTACAAGTGTCTAATAGTATTGGTTCTAGTGCACCTATCCTAACAATAAGTCCTATGAGCCTATAGAATTGTTAGGTGTTAATTGAATCAAGGATGCAGTGGAATTTAAAATTTCTTGAAATTGACACAAACCCCAAATGATCCTTCCATGATTATTCATTTAATTGTGCAAATTACAATAAAATAAAACCATACACGATTGAATACGATACCTTCGTTGGAGGCTTCTTCAATATGTGTGATGGATTCGCTTTCACTCACTACAACAAAAATGACCTACGGTAACATGCAAAAAGTGTTACCAAAGGCAAATGGTAGCATTAATAAGTATGCTATTACAGCTCGTGTTACTAAAAAATGAGGCTTTAGTATCACTTTTTGTATGTTATTGCTAATTATTTTGTTGCACTTATTGAAAGTTATAAATGAACTTTCAATAAGTATAACAAAATGCTACTGTTGAGTATATTATAACACTTATTCATGGCTACAAATGATTTTAGCTTATACTCTAAAACTGTTATAGGTTAGCTTTTTGTAACATCCTTAAAATGTTATAAATAACAAATCTATAACATTTTTTAAATGTTGTAGATAGGTTTTTCATAACGTTGTTCAAATGTTGTAGAAAAGTTTTTAATAACATTTAAAAGTGCTACCAAAGTTTTAAAAAATGTTGTAAATAAGTATTCCTTGCATTTTCTAAATGTTATAAAATTAATTTTTATAACATTTATTCATAAAATAATAGTGGATGTAGACTTGATTGAACTTGTCAAATCACTTTAAAAATTATCTTTTGTTTTCTTATTTAATCAATTTCACTTATTTATGGATGCTTGTTGTTAATCCACTTCACATCGTGTCACGGCCCCATCTTATGGAGGCACGGCCGGGCCTTGGCCCACTCTGCGTGACTTACTTGGTACTGTAAACCCCCCCCCCCCCCCCTAAAGAGATTTCTTTGCCTCCCCACCACTGGAACCTAAGACCAATAGGCTATAGTCAATTGGGGAGCATAGTGAGTACATCAGGCTAGCTCCCAATGACTATAGCCCCTTGGTCTTGGGTTCAAGTGGTGGGGGAGGCGAAAGAAATCCCTTAAGGGGGGAGACAGTACTGAGTAGAATGGTATGAGAGTTGGTGTTTGTTGATCTCCAGCCGGGCCCACGGTTAGATTGGGTCGTGACACATCATGGCCAATTCCCTCAAGGTCAATTGAGTATCTGAAGTAGAGTTTTTGCAGAAAGTGAAATTGGTTGGCTTGGGTATCGTTCTATATGAAAATTGGAGATTTGTGTTGGAGAGGAAGAAGGAAAAATGGAACAGGGTAGATTCAATTTAAAAAAAAAATTAGGGTATTTTTCATTTTATTTTACCTTTGAAGAGAGAAAAATATTGTCATAAAAGATTTTACCATTATGGTTCCAATAATATTTTTCCTTCGAAAATTTATCAGAGTAAAAAAGTGTAATTATGTTATCTGATTTTATTGGTTAAGTAATATTATTAGTTAGATATTTATTATTTTATTTAATTATTTAAATCATAATTATGCATTGACTTGTACTTTTACTTTTACATATTCATCACCCTTGATTGGTTAAGGATTTCCCCTAATAATCGATGGAGACAGGAGGTGTGATACAATCTCTTTGTATGTGAGAGCAGGTTAAGGATGTTACATAATATTGTTTAATATTACTTTAATGTATAAGCTTTTAATTAAATAACAATATGTTACTATATGATAGATTTTTTTTTTTTTTTTTTTGGGGGGGGGGGGAGGGGGGTGGGGCGGTATGAGTTTTTGGTCACCCCTTGCCTTTGTTACAACTTCGCTTAAGACCCCTTGGTTTTTCAACTCCTCAATCCATCCTTCACTCCATTACTATTTCATAGATTTACAACTAATTTAAACTGACAATAGTAATTATTTAAAAAATTAAATTAATTAAGTAAAAATTAAATTCGTAAACTTTCACAGCAGACCTTAAAAAAATTAGACTAAAAAATTTGTTTAGTATTGAATTCCAAAAGTTCTTTAATAAAAGAAAACCACAATCCTCAGATGCAGAACCAGTTTCAGTGAAACAATGATAAAATTTTTTACTAAGCAGCTGAAAAACTTGCCATTTATACTCATTTAGTGCATAAAATTGGGATATAATTCTTCAAATATATCAAGCTTGTTCAATAATTTCAGGTTAAATAAATCTGGAGATCATCCTTCAAATATAGAGCTGAAATGGACTGCAGGCTTACAATCTATGAATAAAAAGAATGTCTTTTGGTGCATTTGAGGCAGTCATGACAACGGTCTCACTCAAGTCTCCATTGGAATGCATTCTTTTTATCTACATACTATCTACCTAAAATTGTCTACTCAAATGATTTTCAGCTTCCTGAACAAAAAATTTAATCAACAAATGAAAGAATGAAACTTCTATAAAAATGCATGGCATCAACAAATATTACATTGCAAACATTTGTTGCTCATTTAATAAGTTAAAAACATAACAACAAATTTGAGGTGTTTTATTGACAATTAGGGAAAGGGTAAGTAAACTATTAGATGCAGATACATCAACACATTAAGCATATCACGAATAAATATTGTGGTCATATTAATCTCTATCCTGTACCAAGTTGTTGATCATGTTAACCAAAGGAAGAGTTCCCTTCGCCATGATCTCCATCCTACAAGTATTAGAGGCATGCGAGAATAGAGAAAGCCCAAAAACTATAAGTTCTGGAAGAAACAGTCTTGATGACAAGAAACCATGCCAATAATGCGGTTCCAAATCAAAAAATGCGTCAAAAAACATTCTAGTGCCTTGTAAATCAAGCTTCAGCAGTATATCCATACCAAAACAGAAGAATTCCCTCTGTCTCCTCCTTTGTATGGGCCATAAATCTTTCCAAACATCAGCTGACAACTCATTTCCTGAAAGGCTTCTATCAGAATCAAGGCACCGTACTATAGCGTTTGCAACAATAGGGGCTGCTGCTAAAGTCCTTGCCACCATATACCCAGTCGAAGGGTGCACCATGCCAGCAGTACCACCTATTCCAACCACTCTTTGAGGAAGCACTGGGAGAGGTCCACCCATGGGAATGACACAATGCTCATCCTCTTCAATGCTCTTCACTTTAATGCCTAAGTGCCTTAATCTAGCCGCCAGTCTTTCCTGGATATCTTTCATGGGCACTCCAGGCCGTGCTACAAGTGAAGTTTCCTCAAGAAATATCCTGTTTGATGAAAAGGGCATTGCATAAAGAAAAGTCGGAATTTTACTATTAGCTTCTTTTAGCTCCAAATTGCTGTCTAGATGTGAATCTCTCCAGTCCATAAAAAGCATCTTATCTACGTCAAATGGGTGCTCTTCTACTTCAGCCAAAATTCCATATGCCACTTGGTAACCTGGATTATAGGGCTTATCATACTGAACAAGGCACCTAGAAAACCCAGTTGCATCAAGAACCACAGCAGCCTGAATTGTAACACCATCATTGCAAATCAATAAGGATTTGGACTCTTCATGAATAACCTTAATAACTTTAGCTTGGTGAAACTTAACACCATTGGATATGCATTTTCGCAGCATTTTAGACTTGAGCTGCTTTCTATTAACCCTCCCATAAGGTCTATCAAGATCCTTCTTCACACCGTTATCAATGTAAACAACAGCGCCGGACCAGGTGGTGTCAAGGCAATCAAGCAAATCCATGGCTCCAAATTCATCAACCCAAACACCATAATTATTGGGCCAAATCAATTTGGGAGAGGGGTCAATTGAGCAAACAGAAAGCCCTGCCTCAGAAACTTGCTGGGCAACAGCAAGCCCAGCTGGGCCACCACCTACAACAGCCAAGTCCACAACAAGACCCTTTGAAGGGTCATACATGGGAAGCTCAAACTCAAGATTTTCCTTCTTGGTTCCAGGAACAAGCTCCAAAAGAGTACTACTACCGGCCTTTACACGACACTTACTACTACTAATCCTCTTGAGATGATATTTCTTAAGAACAAACCTAAACTCTGGACTCTGAATCTTTGAAGAGCTTAAACTACAGGATTTATCAGAAACCCCGTGAAGTTGGGGCAAGAATTCAAGTTTGTTATGTGTTTTTAGTAAGGTATCCATGGATTTTAACTAAAACACAATCTGGGTCTTAAAACAATAGAAATAAAAAATCAATTAAACTAGAGAAAATAAAGATTTGAAAACTTACCACAGAGCAGAGAGAAGAAAAAGAGAAGCATTTTCTGGGAATATTTGGCAAGGTAAGCTTTGTGTTGTGTGTGTGGCCAATGAACAAACAATAAGTTGGGATTGCGAATGATTTGTGAATCTGACGTAGTGGTGCACTGGATACAGACCAAGTCATTATCACACCTTCACAAACACTCACTCGTGACTCGTCTCTAAACATGCCACGATAACACTAGATATTTACAATCATTGTAAGGCTACTTTTGGAACCAGGATACTATTAGATTGGACATTCACTAATTATTAGAAGAGTAATACTAATCTCCCACACTAATCTTGAAGAGATTCCACGCCAGTTTTCGTTGCGCAAGAATTTCCATCGGAGAATCAAGAAGCCCCAGCTTTGCAAGGTGTGCACCAATTAGTCGAATCACTCAAAGAAGTTCACAAGTTTGTCTATGAACTGCTAAAGGTCCAAGACACTTCTTAAACCCTATTATATGGCCCAAACCATGGACATCATGTAACACTCACATCGAGATACGTAGCTTTACGTATTCTCTAATACTCTTAGTTGAATTTTGTTAAAGGTATCTTGAACAAGTGGGAAGAAAATCCATTAAAATTTTATTATGGGTAAAATGGTCTTTTCACTCATAATTAGTTGAAAAAATTGGGAGTGAAAAGAGATAAAATTTTATGGAGAAGTTAACAAAAATGAGGGTATTATTGTAATTGACTAAGGGACATAGATGAAATTTCATAGAAAATGCAAGGGCAAAACGGGAAAGTAGAAGTAATAAATGAGACATTTAGAGTTCATTCTCGAAAATTCATCATTCTCTACTCCCTCATACGCCACTTTCGTCTCCAAATTCTCTCATTTTCTTCATCAAATTTCCAAGGCAATTGAGAGGATTTTTGGTTAGATTTTGGTAGATATTCAATCCTAAGCATCCAAAGGTAAGAGTTCTTACAATATGATGTGAGATTAATTTTTAAATTGTTGAATTCTTATAGTTATATGCTTAGGGTTTAAGAAGAAGAGAAGATCTACCCAAAGAGAGAGTTTCTAGTGTGGAACTACCCAAGATCAAGGTAAGTAAATCTAACCCTAAGTTTGATTTGAGTAAGTTTGTAGAGATTTGTATATGTATGTATGTGCTTATGTTTTTGAGAAGTTTTGATGAGATTGATACATGAAGATAATTAAAATTCAGCCATGAGAATGTAGACTTTGCCTATATGGTGATTGATGGAAGTTTGGTTGAATTTAGAAAGAGTTTGAGTAGACTTTATGGAGTGTAGTTTCCTAGTCGGGTTTAGTGTTGATTTAATGGAGTTTTACTCCAAATATTGGTGGCTTGAGAAATAAGTAGAAGTGTAGCCAAATAGAGTTTGAGTATGCATGCAATTTGTTTAATGAAAATCCTAAGAGAAAACATGTTACCATGGTTTCCCTGTCACAGCCGTGACTTTCTGAGTGATTTTTGGGCATCTTACCGATTAAACTAGGTTGAAACCTAAATAAAAGTTGTAGCCCTTTCTCTAAGCTTTAAAACGAGACCAAGATCGTAGCAATCCGATGTGTATAACTCGAGATATGCCTTCTTGAATATGACCTGTGCAGAATGACTACCTCAAAATATTTTGTAGTCTAATAATCTATGATTGATTTCAAGTATGGGAATGTTGTTGGTAGAAAATACTAGTTCTCTAATGATATTTTTTATATGTCATAATGCATTCTCACATTTTCATTTAGAAAGAATAGCAAAGAATGAGCATAGTTCCATGCACAAACACATGGATGAGAATAGTAAAGAATAAAGAAAAAGAAAGAAAAGAATTAATTGTAAAAAAATAAGAGAAGAGAAGGTTATTGCGATGGGGAACCCGTGAGTGACAGAGAAGAATAGTCCCACATACACGCGCCTTCAGTGAGCGGCCTCAGAATTAGAAAGAAGTAAGTGTACAGTTCGTTAGAAGTGTATGTGGATGAGAACTGTACTAACAGAATTTACCTACATGTACGCCGCCTTTAGTGAGCGGTCTCAGAATCAAAAAGAAGAGTTGTACAATCCGATAGAAGTGCATATAGATGAGGACTGTACCCACTCACATGGCCAGGGTTTAGAATCCATGCCTCAACCGAGTTCGATCAGCATAGAAAGAAATAAAAGAAAGAAAGAATAGAACACAGAAAGAAAGAACAAAATAGAAAGAAAGAAAGAATAGAACGAAAGAAAGAGTTGAACACAAAAAAAAAGAACAGAATAGAACAAAAAGAAAGAAAGAACAGAATAGAAAGAAAGAAAGAATAGGACACAGAAAGAAAGAACAGAACAGAAAGAAATAAAGAATATAACACAGAAAGAAAGAACATAATAGAAAGAAAGAAGAGAAACAGAAAATAAAAAAGAAATTGCATTCTTTATGCATTTATGCACATGCATCATGGCATTCATATTATTCAGAATTAGTTTCTCCAATTGTGCTTACATGTTAGTAAGTGAGAAACAAGAATAGAGAAAGAATAGAGAGATAGAACAGAAAAAGAATAGAGAAAGAACAGAGAGATAGAACATAAAAAGAATAGAGAAAGAACAGAGAGAAAGAATAGAAAAGAACAGAGAAGAAGAGAGAAGTGTGATGTAAGGAAAGAATTCAGAATATGAGCAACGGAGATAAAAGGGTAGCATAACGGGTTTACTTACTGAGCAATTAGTGCTCACCCGTTGTTTTCAATGTTTTTGCAGGTAGTAGATGAGATGTGGTCGCTTGCAACGTCAAGATGCGGAAGGGTCGACCAACACTGTCGAGCTTCTTGAGAAATTTATTTACACTATGTATAGTTTTGTATATATAAAGAAAAATTGGGCCCATTATTTTATACTCATCTACGTGTATATTTTCGTAATATATATATTTAGTGAGTTTTACTATTTATTTTACGAGTATACTAGCTAGAGAGAGAGTCATTACACATCAAGTGTAGAAAGGTTTATTTGGCCCAAGCCCAATGATGGGATGTTATTTGATTCAAGTGAATGAAAGTTAATTAAGTTAATTAGTTGTTAGATACATAGATCATAAAATTAAGGGAGTGGTTGTACTATTGCATTAAATAGGCATGACCTTATGTTTTGAATCTGTGGTGGAGAATTAAGCCCTTAAATTATGTGTAATATTTTGAGATATTTGTAAAGGGCAATTCCCTTATTTGTAATGCCCATATAAAGACAACTCTCCCATTTTTGTAAAGTTAGACAAATGAATATAATGAATGGTATTTCAATGGAAGTTGAATCTTCTTGCATTTCCTTTATCCAAGTTTCGGCCTAAACTTGGTGGTGGATTAATTCAAGTCGGTGGAGCCTCTTTTAAGCTTGAATGTCCCTTGGCCATTTATCCTAGTAAGTTATTTTCATTTTGGTTCCCATTTTCCCATTCTCGGTTTTGGTTTATGAGTGTGAAATCTTTGCTTCAATTTGTGAAGTGTTTTGATGGGTTGATCTTAGGGATTGTTAGCTTGTTAGGATTGATGATTTAAGGTATTAAAAGAGATTGTGAGTGATTGAATTTGTCTTGGCTGAATTAGTGTTGAGTTGGTTGAATCTTGTGTGTTTTGGTGGTAGATTATTGTGCATATGGATGAAATGAGATGAAATATCCACATTAATTAGCTTAATCACACCCTAAGTATTCACCTAAACCAAAATTGCCCAAACTTCACCCTTTTACCCTTACCACCTCAAATATTACTATTTTGGCATCCAAAAATCACTATTCACTCTCAGAGTTACTATTCATAGTAGCTTAATTTTCCAATTTTCATGTCAAACAAAAGTGGATCCTCTTCCCCAATGCCCCCTTGGGAGGTTGCTTTCCTAAAAAGCCAAGAAGACCTTTAGAAACTTGAAGGAAGGGTGAACCAGATGGCCCAAATCCTCATGACTCATATAGCACCATGCACACCACCTACAAAAACCTTTCAAACCCGACCACCACCCCATGAAACCGAGCCACCTATCCCTGAACAAGAAACACCTCCAAGAAGACTTACACCACACATTAGGCGTCAAGTTTACCAACCTCCTCCCCATGAAGATGAAACTAGTCTTCTAAGTGACTTTAGTGATTTTGGTGTTGTTGTGAGAAAAATGAGGAGAAATGTTTATGATGATAGGGGACTTAAGATTGATATACCCGAATTTTGAGGAGCCTAGACCCTAATGATTTCAATGATTGGTTGAGTGAGATTGAAAGGGTATTTGAGGATGATGAAAAAGAGGTTCTTGCCCGAAAACTATAAGCAGGATCTCTACATGAGTTTGTTCAATCTCAAGCAAGGAGATAGGAAAGTAGAGGAGTATATAAGGGAATTTGAAGACCTTATGATGAGGAGTGACATTCCAGAGGAAAAGGAGCAAACTATCACTAGATTTTTGGGAGGTTTACAAAGGGAAATAGCTCACAAAGTGGAGTTGCAGCCTTATCTTTCATTTGGGGATGTATGCAAGCTAGCTGACAAGGTGGAAAAGCAACTACAAAGCTTGAAGCTCTTGGCTCCAAAGACCTATTTTATGGGTAGCACCAATTACAAGGGTTCTCCATTGTAGGAACCATGTCGTGGCAAGCGTGGAATAACAACAAAAATTTCTTGCCATGGCACGATCTCGTTACCCAAGATCACAATTTCGACTAAATTAATCAACATAAATTAAAACAGCTATACAAGGTTATGTGATATACCTCCCATTGGTGGCTCTTTCTCTGGATTAGAACTTTCAGTATTGTTCACCGGCACTGTTCATCAGTACTATTCACCAACACTGTTCACAGGTATTTCGCTATCGATCTAATGCAGGATCAAGTCCAATGGTATCCACACAAAGGCTGGCTCAAGATCACCCTAGGATTGACTACTAGATCAATCGGAGGGCTTAAGGGAGGTGGCAGAATTTAGAGAGAGATTTTCTCTCTCTAGGGTTGATGGCGGCTAGGGTTTTTGGAAGAGGTAATTGCAAAATTAACTTTATGATAATTTCTCTTTTAAAACAAAACCCAATGATCCTTTATATAGACAATCCCAAATAAGAGTTCAATAAGAATTGTAAATCCTTAATTCCTATTTGGATTAGATTACAATCCTTATTTGAATTGGATTG